ATGGATGATTCACTTAAGTTGACATAAAATTTTCTCATTGTTTTCTTTCTATTTAACGTGTTTAATACATTACCTAATAAAAGTAGAGAATTAGAAGTATGAGTCCTAGCATTCAATGTGCAACTTCCCTAAACACCACCCACAACAAAGACACCACCCACAACAAAGGAACAAATATGAAGAAGGCAATAAGAAACCAGGATAACCTTTTGATATTGATGTCAGGTTTATAAAATCAAGAAGCCTTGCCTATATTTTAATAATCCTCAACATAAATAAACTGAAAGTAATCAATTTGTAGAGGTACGCTGCTGCAGAATAATTATATAAAGCAGATGGATTTCAGTGCAAGTGCACAGCTATATGCTTGCGTGTCTAATCATGTGTCAATCAAGCAGTAGAGAATGATTTATACCCATAACATCAAATCTGATATGATACATCAAAGGTAAGCTCATTGACATGATGAGTACTCCCACCAATTGGTCAATTTCCAACTACAATCAAGGACTTTTATTGGTGGAAAAATTGTCCATTGGGTAAAGAAGTTTTATGTGTTTCAAAGAAATATCTAAAAAGGAAATAAAATTCAAGAAAGTTTATTGCAAAGTGTGAGGCAAGAAATCTATTTGTAAAAATCTAATATGTAGTTATCTTAACTTAACAAGAGTGTTCCTACTTTCAATATTTATCAAAGAAAAATTCATTGGACATTCAACGGGCTAGTAGTAGCCATGAAATTATTTCATGGGTCATTCGGAGCTTCATGTACTTGTTAGCAACTCAAACGGGGCCACACTCCCAAATCCCACCAAAAGATATCATTCATTATTACTTGATGTCAATAATTACACTACTTGATGTAAAATAGTCAATCTTTTTCTTTTCTCAAGAAAATCTCCTATCTGACTCTACTTTTAACTTCTTAACATAAACTTCAATTTTACAATATAGCTAGATAATGTGGTTACATTAAATAAAACCAATCTTGTAGAATTTCGGCTCAAGCATATATATATACCCCACACACACACACACACACCAAAGTATGAATCTATAACAATATGGCAAAATGACTAGATTGGTATATTTTATCGAGGCTTGGTGACAAGTTGGTATATATATTTTTTAGTTTTATCAGATTGGTATATTTTCTCAACTACGGCGCCATATAGGCCTTAAATTTAGCCGGAGTTACTGTTCCTGCCAGTGCTGATAGGATTTTTTACATAAAGCCCCCTCATCAAATACAGTTTCCTGCTCCTAACCCCCCCTTCCTCCTCCTCCTCCTCCTCTTCAACCTCCCCCTCTCCCTCATCCTCCTCATCCTCTCCCTCCTCTTCCCTCCTCATCCCTCTTCCCGATCCCCTCCATCTTCTCCTCCCCTCCCTCCTCTCCTCCTCCTCCTCCTCCTTCGGCCCTCTCCACCTCCGCCCATTCTCTACCGCCACCCCCTCTCTCTCCTCCCCTCCCTCCAAATATAAGAACTGTTAGAATACACCACCACTCACAGGGAATATGATACTACCTTTAACTAGAAGTAGTTGCCGCATACAAAAGATGGAAACTTCTAAGTAGGGATGATGGAAACTTCTGAGTAGGATGAGTCGAAACAAATGAAAGATAAAGGGACCGACGAGTAGAAACTAAACCATCGATATCCTAGTAACGATACTGACATGTTATATTTATACAAGCTGACACCCTGGCTACAGTGTTGAGAACTGATCATCTCAATGGCAGATTGTTGTATTTATACAAGATGACATCCTGGCTACAATGTTGTAGCGCTGATCTTCTCGATGATGGTACCCGTTACGAAGTTCCAAGTAAATTATACATTTTAGTTAGTCTATTTATATTAGTCACTGTTAGATTGGAACATTAATGATGGGCATAACATTAATGAAGGGGAGGAGAGAGAGAGGGGGGTGGTGGCAGAGAATGGACGGAGGTGGAGAGGGCTGAAGGAGGAGGAGGATGAGAGAAGGGAGGGGGAGGAGAAGATGGAGGGGATCGGGAAGAGGGATGAGGAGGGAGGAGGAGGGAGAGGATGAGGAGGATGAGGGAGAGGGGGAGGTTGAAGAGGAGGAGGAGGAGGAGGAGGAGGGAGAGGGGGGGATTAGGAGCAAGAAACTGTATTTGATGAGGGGATTTTATGCAAAAAATCCCATCAGTACTGGCTGGAACAGTAACTACGGCCAAATTTAATGTCTATATGGCGTCGGAGTTGAGAAAATATACAATCTGACAAAACTAAAAAAAATATATACCAACTTGTCACCAAGCCTCAAGAAAATATACCAATCTGACCATTTTGCCATAACAATATAGAAGTCTTCTATATCCTTTTGTTTTTTCTTTTACAGTAGTATATTACAACCATAGACCTTTTTTTCCAAAAAAAAAGTGATAACATTATACAAAGGAAAAAATAGTAGCCAATGAAATTATAAGGCTTCTTTTGCTTTACTCTTAGACCCTGTTTTGCAATGGGTTGAAGTGAGGGGTAAGGGGAGAACCCGTCACTAACACTTAAAACGGGTTATTTCGGCCAAAAGGTTAACAAACTATTGTTAAAGGTTAAATTAGGTTAACCCCGCATTTAGAAAGGAGAACTATTTTGCTAAGAAGGTAGAATAATCTATATTCACAAGTAGAGAAATGGATTTTTAGATAATCTGAGAAAAAATATCTTTTACTAGGATACTTAAAGAAACTATTAACTTATAATTTATACGGTAACTTTTAGGATGTTTTAGCACTAGACGAATTTTTTTAAAGAATTATACCCTCCTATCCAATTTTGCCATCCTTTGTATCCAAACCTATTAATATTTGTCAAAGGATTAACCATTCACCTAACCGTCTTATCTAAATATAATTAAATTTAATCTTATGATTTATGATTAGTTAAAATAAGTTAGCCCTTCTCCTTAATCCATCTCCATTGATGCCTTGCCAAATTGCACCATGCAGAATAAACCTATCTAAGGAAGGTTATTTTTTTAATCATGTCTAGACTAATTATAAATTGACTAAATTTTAATATATATATATATGAAAATATGATTCTAAGGAGCCACCTTAAATTGAATCTAATGATATATGTCTCAATGTATGGATTGGGCTATTTCAATGGATTGTTAATTTTAGTATCACTTGATGCATTAGTAACCACAACCCGATATGTCATTCAAATCATTTAGATCAAAGTAAACAGGGTGGATCAAATAAATTGATTACGTATAATATAATTTTGAAGGTGCATCCTTAGATTCAATCTAAAATCTTTGGATTTTGTTTTATAAAAACTTATATAAAAATTGAGCTTTCCTAGACATTTTAGTGCTTAAAACAATCTTACGTTTCATAACTTTCTAAATTTTAAGCTTACAAATTATCAAGAAGGAAATCTCTACGTGGGTCTGTGTCAGTGTCGCTCAAGTTTACATAAGCTTCATTTCACAATATCAACCAAAATTGTAGACAATTCAGGATTTCATGTCCCATAGCTAATGACATCTCAAACTTAACTCCCAAAAGATATTCACCATCAAAAGATATGATTCAGTGTTACCCCTTGTCACGGAGTCAACTTTTTTCTAAACCCTCCTTTTGTCAACATCAATCAATAGTCCAAGTTTGACTCATTTGATCCCATCAATCAAAAGAACATAAAATATACTATATTTATAACCTATATGTTATATATATATTTATGTATCTGTGCTGTCTCTGATTCATTCAACCTGCACTCAACAAATCTCTTACCTTAATTTCCTCGAAAATCTGATTGGCCCTCACCTGCCACGTTGCACACGATCCCACGATTATGATTGGCCGGGAGTGGGGAGAGGGGAGAAAAGAGGGAGGATAGAATGAAGGGAGTAGAGATAATATATATGATCTATATATAATATATATATATATATTGTATATTGTATATATATATTATTTAAGCTTCGAAAAATATGCTAGACGCTTGCTTCCATAGCACCTATTAAACAACGGAATTTCATTTCATTGACCTTCTAAAAGGAAAAAATTGCCAAAAACTAGCATCAGAAGGGTTAATATGAAAAAAATTAAGTGGGTATTATAAAAACCTAACCACAAAATTAATGTTTGGATAGACCTATGAAACTCAAAATAAGATAATGCAGGTTTCAGTAGTTACTAAACAAGCAATTTCATGTTCATGATCCACCAGACGTTAAAAATAGCTAAAAACAAAGCATTGAAGGGTTAATATGCAAAAAATAAAATAAGCATAAATCACACAGTTAAGTAGCTGAAGCCAGATATAACCGTATGTTCAAATGCTGTTAGACACTCGCCAATGTTACTCATAATAATATCTAGCAGTCAAAAACGTTTAAAAATAGCTAGAGGGGTTTATTTGCAAAAAGAAAAATTAAGACGCAGAGTACGGGCCGAAGGACGGGAACTGAGGAGCCAATAGGATGAAGTGTACTATTCTGTGCGTATTTGTGTGCATGGCGAGTCTACAAAAAGCAAAGCAAACTACAGCAGCGGGTATACAATCGAGGCCGGGTAAACGGGTGTGCGACCGGTGTACTACAGGGGGTGGGTAAGCTCAAGCGCGCGG